GTATGACTTGAAGGAAGTTCCCATACAGTTGTACAAGAAGTTTGATGATTTCATGCAAAATGCAGGATACAACAGATGCCAGACAGATCAATGTTGTTATGTCAGGTACTTTGACAATTCCTATATCATCTTATCGTTGTATGTGAATGATATGCTTATTGCAGGGGTCAACATTGATGAGATCAATAATCTGAAGAAATAGATGTCAGAGCATGTCAGAGCACTTTACAATGAAGAAGAATTTGGGAGCGGCAAAACAAATCATTGGCATGAGGATTGTTAGAGACCGAGTCAAAGACACGTTGAGGCTTTCACAAACTGAATATATGAAAAATGTGCTTAGTATGTTCAATATGGACAAGGCCAAGCCAGTTGACACGCCTTTGGGAAGTCACTTCAGACTTCGCAAAAATCAGTCTCCCAAGACAGAGGAGGAATAAGACTACATGAGTGAGGTTCCTTACGCTTCAGTTATTGGCTCACTCAAGTATGGCATGGTTTGCACCAGACCAGACGTTGCCCATGCAATGGGACTTATGAGAAAATACATGAGTAATTCAGGTAATGAACATTGGGAAGCTGTGAACTAGATCTTGAGATACCTAAGAGGGTCTTCAAAAATCTGTTGTGTTTCTAAAAAAAAAGCATGGAGATATAGTGCTATGTTCATGTAGATTTAGCTGGAGACATTGACAGTATAAAGAGTATTACATGTTATGTTTATACTATTGGTGGTACTGCAATGTCATGAGGCTCAAATCTACAGAACACAGTTTCGTTGTCCACTACAAAAGCTGAGTATATTGCAGTGTCAGAGACTGCTAAGGAGATGATATGGCTGCAAAGTTTCTTGGAGGATTTGGGTAAGGCGGTTCAGAGGGCACTCTCTACAGTGATAGTCAGAGCGTCATATTTCTTGTCAGGAATCTAGTTTTTCAACATAGGACCAAACACATTCAGATCAGATATCACTTCATTCGATCTCTATTAGACAACGGACGAATGCTACTTAAGAAAATTTGTTAAAGCAAAAACCCTGCTGATATCTTGACTAAGGGGATTACTCTTGAGAAACTGAAGTTGTGTTCGACTTCAGTTGGTTTTCTAGTATGAAAAACAGGGCTTTAAGTTACAGAGGTGAAGGATACAATGCTCGAGGAAAAGGTCGGTAGTACTAGTAGATGATGCAGCCAGTAGGTCATGCAGTCAGCGTCCCAGTCTCCAAGTGAAAGAATTGTTGGGTAATGTGGAGACCTGGTCCACCAAAATTTAATTAACTTCCTAATTAAGAATCTCATCAACTGCTCACCTACATTCTCACATACCGCACACCTATCACATCCCACCTACCGCTCATCTACCTCCCACCTACCGCTCTCCTGATTTCTATAAATATTCCCTTATGGTTTTTCATAATAAGCCAAGTCTTCTAAGAGAGAAAGAGATGGAGAGAAAGAGAAAGAAAGGGAGAGAAGAAAATAGAAATTTTCTTGTAAACGTCGAGGCGCTCGACAGTGTAATTTAAGAAATAAATTCCTGTGCAACTCCATGGACGTAGGCATGCCGAACCACGCAAATTTGTGTGTCGCACTGGTGTTTCTACTGCATGCAATTTTTCTCGTTCTATTTTTGTTTTATTGTCGTCGTTTTTCATAACAATTTTGTTCAATAAGCTCAAAATAGTTGGATCGTTGTTAGTTAAGGTTCTATCATGAAATGTTGAAAATCGAAGTCAATTACTGAGCTGCATATGTAAAACAACAAGACAACAACCACCTAAATGTTGAACAACTAAGGTTATCGCTGAAAATTCATCAGACAAACCCTCTCAAATAAAGAGGACAATAACACCAATTATGAATCATGCCACCATGCATTAACTTGCTTAAGAGCTAACAGATTAGTGATAACTGATAACACATTTGACATTTCAGTGAACAAAAAAAAAAGTAAATTATGTGAACAAACAAAGCAAGCATAGGTCCACAGTGTTGTTACAGAGGCAACAACACAGCCAAAAGATCAATACCACAACCACAAGATCCTCAACCAGTCAACCACCAACATCACACGATCTCCTTTTTTGAAAATATTAGTAAAAAAAACATTCATAGTCGCTTCTCCTATTGAGGAAGTTCTCCACTCTCAAAAGACCAAATAAACAGTCAACCAAATTAATTAGAGAACACCAAACTAATAAAGAATTATCTGCATGAAAATTCAAAATACCCAACTATAAAGCGTGTAAAATAGAACCGAAAATCTCATGCAAGTTAAGCTCACTAATCATGTAATCCACCTCCACAACACCAACTCTCCAACCATATCATAACAACTCAAAAATCAAGAAATGCTCCTCGGGAGCAGAGCGGTGACTTCATTTCCAATATTAAAAAAAGAGTACAGTCAACATATCTGCTGCACTTTTATCGTATGATCCAACATAGTGAACTCCACATATAACTGTACTCCCCAACAGTTTATAGATATTATCTGCAGTTAACTTTACTCGTTGTTGCAATTCTTTTCAATCTTCATCCTCAATGGCATCTGGTTTTGCTGCCCACAAAGCTTTCAAGATTCTTTGTTGAGCCAACAAATCTTTTACTCTTATTTGTCATAATCTGAAGTTATCAGTCTCATCGAACTTCACCACCTCGAATTTTGTACCATAAATTATCATCTGAAATTGATCCTGTAACGAACTTCTCTGCAAATTCCTCTACTGAATTTCCAAATTACTTGAGCTAGAAATTGTACTCACATTGATCCTGCCACAAATCTTTTTAAATAATCTCTTAATCGAGATTTCCTTAATTAAGTTTCCTAAAAAAAATGATTTTCACTTAATTAAATTTTCCTTAATTAAACTTTCCCAAAAATCTTTTTCCTTAAACTTCCAAGAAAAACTCTCATTTCCTTCTCGAAAAGCTCTGTCTCCGCTTTCCAGAAAAGCTCATTCTTCCTTCCAAAAAACTTTGTTTTCTTCTCAGAAAAGCTCTGTTTTCACTTTCCAGAAAAGCTCCTTTTTTTTCTTTTTTTTCTACCAGAAAAGCTCTGTTTTCCTTCTCAGAAAAGCTCCGCCTCCGCTTTCCTTTCAGAAAAGCTCCGCTTCCGCTTTCCTTCCAGAAAAGCTCCACTTCCGCTTTCCTTCCAGAAAAACTCCGCCTCCGCTTTCCAGAAAAGCTCCGCCTCCGCTTTCCAGAAAAACTCTACTTTCCTTCCAGAAAAACTCCGCCCCCGCTTTCCAGAAAAGCTCTGCATTCCTTTTCCGCTCCAGCGCGATTCAGCGATTCACACCGTCGTCCAAACTGCTCCTCCACGCAGCTTCTGAACCGAATCCCGCAAATGTCTGCGTCGGCGCAGAACTCCCACGCGAAACTCCTGCGTGTAGTGAGCTCCTCCCCCATTTTAGAGGAAATATTCCCTATGGTAGAGGTGGAAAATTCATTGATTCTCCTCTGGCAAACAGCCTGCAGTACCGCCTTCGGCTTCGCCTTCGCAAACTCCTGCGTTGGCGGCAGGCTCCCGCAAACAATCCTTCGTGCCTCCATCCGCCAACCTCTCGCGAACGCCTTCGGCTTCGCCCACACAAACTGTTCCTCCCACGCGATTCGAGCCCTTCGTGAACTCCTCTCAGCCTGCTCCAACAATCTGCCGCGAATTGCCAAAGTTCTTCGTCGAATCGTTTAAGCCCCGAAATTCACCAAACTCTTCTGCCCTAGCCGTCAAATCTCCTCTGTCAAAATCTTCTTTATTCCTACGCCGTCGAAATTTTTCTTACCTGCCCTAGAACCTCACTCTGATACCACTTACCACTTGTTGAGAAATTAGGGTTGTTGAGAAATTAGGGTGAAGAAAAATAAAAATCGACACAAATCCAGAAGAACACAGAGATTATGAGGTTTGACAAAGATGCATACGTTCTCGGGAGTAAAACAGTGACTTCCTTTTCAATATTCAGAAAAGAGTACAGAATACAAAATTCATAATCTTACCTAGAGTTACAAACGTAACATATATATAACCCTATAGTACAATATGTAATTACTTAAATCACCTCTGTACCAAACCGCGGGGTGTTGCACCCGCAACCCCTACCCACATAATGAAACTCCTTCGATTGGACAGATCTCTCCGCTCCACTCCGCTCGTGGGGCTCCGCTCCGCTCCAGTATATGCCTCTTTTATGGTATATGAGCCATACCAAACACATTCTTTGTTGATCAATACTCCCTAACAAATGTCATATCTGTAGTGCATTAGACTTGGCCCAAGCTCTAACATAACACCCCAAACTTGTAGTACAGCTTGGCTTAGGCTGAGCTAATCAAAACAATTAATGGCTCCCTGGTTCTAATCTTCTCAGAAAATCAAATAAGAGACCAAAGAGGATATGTCCTCTTCACACTCCGTCCGCCAAACAGTACACAATTTTCCACTTGATGGAGAACACTGCTATAAACCTCCCAAATAAGAAAATAGAGTGGTATGCATACATACATACCACCTAATTCCTATGTATTTACATAACTAACACTTAAATTTTACTTTTTACATTTATACCACCCACATATTTCATATCATATAAAAAATACCACCTTCTTAACTTTTAAAAAGTAAACCACACCTTTTCATGCATTTGAAAATTGATATATATGTAACAAATTGAAGTTTAGATGTTAGATATAGAAATACATAAGAATTGACCGATATGTATGTAAATCTTGCTAGAAAATATTGTATACTGGTATAATTCATCATTTCTCCTTCTTCCTAGAATTAAGAAATGCTTCCAAACATCTAATATACTTAATTTAGCAAAAAGGATTTGTTGAATCAAAAAGTGCCCTGGGGCTTCTAACACTGCTCATAGGAATATTGGTTGAAACTGATAGGAATAGTGGTTGAACCATAACAACTTCTAACAGAAGCAGCTTATCCCCTGCCCCCAACCCACATATTTTTATCCTACATATACCCAACGGTGCCTCCAATAGAATTATGCTAACAGGTTCAATGTTAAGCTGGTGGCCTCCACATAACTCTTAAGGATGGGAGATGAAAAAATGATCTCAAACCCTCATCATCGCCGTTATGGAAGTCAAACAATTTCAGTTCCATTCCTTTGGGAACATAAACCAGGCATGCCAAGGAGACATTGGATTGCCAAGCCAATCCCTTTCGTTTCAGCCAAATTTTCTGAATCAAAGCAGGTTTCGTTGAGTGAAAAAGCCATTACGCCGCTCAAACTTGTTATCTCAGTTCCTTTCCAGTGGGAGGAGAAGCCTGGGAAGCCACTTGTGAGGGAAGAGAACCCTTGCTCTACCATTGCTCCAGTGGCATTCTCCTCCTGGAATGACTCCATTGATGGGACGGAAAAGGTCTTCAATGCCTTTTCTTTAGACTCTTTCATCTCAAATTGGAACCAATCATCTTTTAATGGAGGTTTGGAGGAAGATGATTCCAACCAAAATGATAGTTGGCATTCCGTTTTTGGAAAAGATACTAAGAGTGATTCAAGTAGCTCAGCAATACAAAATGGTGAGTTACACAATAGCTTTTTAGATTTCTTTCCCAGCCTAATGCAAGTTTTATGTGAGGGGTCTACATCTTATCCTCTAGTTTTTGCAGAAGTAGAAGTGAAAAGCTGCACCAGACACCGCAGTCATCTGCTGAAGAGAACGCTGACACTTGGGGAGCTCATTCTGCTGAGCCGCAAGCTGAACTACCCAAAAAATGCTGTCTCCATCAGAAAGCATAGATTCTTCTTAATGGTGAAGCCTTCTTTGCATGAATTTTCCCTTCCACTCTATTAAAATACAGCTAGAGTATAAAACAACACTAGAATATACGTAATTCAGCTTGGCCCAGTAACAGAATCACAATCATAATTATTTAACCTCAATTTGACTACTTGGATTTGATGGTTAGATAATGATGAATGATTTGCAGGGACCTTCATATGAGCGGCATCTGGGAAATACAGCCATTGCCATTAAGAGTGAAATTTTGTATGATTCGCCCGAACTATAAAAACCACCAAGCTATCAAAGTAAAACACACAACATTTAGATTTTAGACACATTCAATTAAACTAGTTCAAGTCAGATAGAAACATGATTCACCCTATGACTATAAAAACCTTCATGCTACCAAAGTATCCCACAGAACACTTAGATTTTATGAACATTTATTCAAACCAGTTCAGGTCAGACAGAGTAAGAGATAAAGAAACATATTATACAGATAAAGAAAAATTGCTGTTCTCATCTTCATATGCCAAAAATTTAAGTAAATATGCTAGATCTCCATCAAAAGGAAGACGCAACAAATTTACTAATGATAAAAAAAATTGTGTTGCAGGATTTCACCTGGAGGGGCCCTTTTGAATGCTTTTCCTTCAGAACAAACGCCCAAAAAAAGCAATCTGTTCATCTAAAATAGGGCAGCAGTCGCATCTAGCCCTGGGGACTATGATGGAATACTTAAATGTGAATGCCTAGAGAGCTTTCTGTAGCATTTGTTTGAATGGTAACATTTGTTAATTTAAGTCATGAAAAGACCTACTACAAGCCTGCTATATGTCAACTCCTTCCCTTCCTTTCTCTTTTGTAAACTACTTCAAATATATCAGACATTAATGAATGAATCTCAAATGTGACTTCTCATTTCATTAACTGGCTTTGTGGCCTTTCAGAACTTTACTAAATCGTTTCATAACCAAAGGAATATCACTTTCAGTCAGTGTTGTAAAGCAGCACCTAAACCAGCCAGGTTCAATACAGTGGCATGAGGATCCTGGAGTGATATTAACTTTGGCCACATTCAGAATGTTTTCCCAAAGCTCAAGCTCACCTTTCACACCGTAAGACTGTAGAAACTTACTCATGTCTGCCCAACAGTAGAATCCCCCGCTACTCTTACAACACTCAATATCAAGCTGCTTTAGCCCCTCTGTAAAAAGTGCATACATTTTCCCAAGTCTCTCTCTATTTGCTTTAATATATTCCTCGATAAATTTAGTATCCGAAAGCATTGAAACAAGCAGGCATTGAGTGGGCAGAGAAATGGCACAGAACCTTGCTAACTTCGAAGCTGCTGCAATGACATTTTCATTATAGGAGTAGATTACTCCCACCCTAAATCCTGGAAGAGAGAGATCCTTAGACAGTCCGTATATTATATGAACCCTATTCTTGTCAAAATCCTCCGTGTCCAGAAGCTCAGCTATGCTCACAAATTCCTCAGTTCCATAGATTGATCCAGCATATACTTCATCAGAAATCAGATGGAGGTTTTTCTCTGTAACAAAGTTTAGGAGATCATATAGTGTTTCCCGATGCATTAGACCGCCTACAGGATTAGAAGGGTTGGTGAAAAGAACAGCACGGACTTTTATTCCTCTCTTTTTTGCCTGTTTGTATTCCCTTTCAAGTGCAGCTATACTTAAATTGAACTTGTTAGAGCTTCGGCACTGAACTGGTATTAGCTCAACGCCAGTCCGTAACTTTATATCCCGATCAAATCTAGAGAATGGGGTGCTCTTAGTTGAACTTGATGTTTTATAGAAAAAAAAAGGGAAATTTTTATGAAAGGTTACAGAAAATCACCCTGGATAATATGGAGAAGGAACGAGGAACGCATTTCCAGGGTCTGCAAGACAGAAGCTAAGTGCCTCAACAGCAGGAGTTGCACCAGCTGTTAATATGATTTGGGCTGGATTGAATGAAACAGATCCTCCCATGATTTGACTCATGAACCCAGCCATTGCCTGATACAGTAGAACATAATTTAAAACTTAAAGATGAAGTTTTTAAAGTGGTTAATTATCTGTAAACCAATCAAAGCGTGCATGAACACACGCACATACACAAGCAAAAATAACCATGGATGGAAATACAAACATGCATGCCTAAGGATTGTTAGAAAAGCACACGTATATATTGGTCCATGTATTTATTCATTAGTGCCAATGAAAATATTTATACATAAAACATTTGTGAATGCCTTTGCATATGTATAAATGTGTTGATATATGTATCTTTACATATAAATATAATATGTAAACCTATGATACATGATAAACTATAAACGGAAAACTCTTTTCTTGACAAAGAACAATGAAACAGAACTCAATGTTTTCAAAAACTCACTAAGATGTGTTTGCCTAGAGTAAGGAGCATTTTTCACCCAATACTGTAAGGTAATTTGTGTAATTTTTTTAGTTCTTTATGGAGTGTAAATGTGTAAGGCGGAAGATGATTCCATTTATATGATTAATTTTATAACAAAATGATGTCACCAATCCTAAGGCTATATAATATTTATTGTTTAACAAGCTGCGTAGAAATCCAGTTATGTGATTTATTTCTACTCATCAAATAACTAGAGGACTAGTTTGGAAAATACAGCATCAAGATGTATGTTTCGAGCAAAGATTAAATTGGTATACTTTAATAAAGCATTTTTAAGAAAACATAATGATAAAAATAATTATTATAGATAATGAGAATGATAAATGATTACTTTTTGAGTTAATTAGTAGTATGAGTACGAGAAATTCATAGAAACTTTTAACTTCAAAGAGACATTTAAATTGGTTATTTTGAGTAATTAAATTCTCATTGTGTAATATATATTGAATGAATGACTGATCCATACATTGAATGTATGATTGATCTAGATTTTTATGAATCTCGGGTTTGGGAAGCACTATATGTTAGAGCGTTAAAATTAGTGCATGATCAAAATGTTGGATTACTTCTAATCTCTGTATTGTCAATTATTCTTCACTGAATAAGGGATAAACATATTATTATCTTTTAGAGGCATATTCCTTGTTATTTGTTTGTCTGTTTTAATTATTGGCAAAATACTGTGGAATATACTTCAATTATTCATGTTATTTCCTATGATTATATTAACATGAAGTAACATGAAGTGATAGCTTTGTCATGCTACTTATTGCACAAATTCCTGAAAGTTTATAAATATGATGTTAATTATTGATAAATAACAATTGCCTAAATGAATCATAAATGATGTTGAGTTGTAACCTAGTTTAATCATAATATAATCTTCATTAAAAGATTTCACTATAATAAAAAATTTCATATAGTACATGCCTGTGTTGTAGTATGTAGATTGATAAAACTTTTTTAGATGTTGAATAACGAAGACTGAAGTGAAGGACTCATATAGTGTCAATTTTTTTAAAAATTGCTATATATTCATGGGCTCGTGTTTACCTTCCTGATTTTAAAATGCATTCATACAATTTATTATAGATACAGACTGTTATAAAATGAAAATAATTACTAGTGAGTCATTGATGGATGTATAAATATAATGTGCTTGTATGCAAACATTCTTACATTTCAACACAATGATTATTAGCCTAAATAAAAAAAAATTTTACAACTCCATTGTATAACAAGAATAATTAAATGTTTTCTCAGATCAAACAATAATATATATTATTCACTATTTACAAAACAATATATTATCAATAAGTTATTCCTGCATTTTTAATTGATCATGTTTATGCCCCTATCTTGTTATTTATACTTTACTCAGTGAGATTCATCTATTTGGTTTGTTTCGTACGAAATTACACCTATTATTTTATGAAATTTGAATTATTGGTCATGCATCATCTGAAAGGAGAGTTTCTGAACCACTTTAAGTATATCATTGGAAATATGTAAGGTTGAAACTATTTATCTGATTCAACATTCTAGTTAAATTTCATTTAATTTTAGTAAATATTAGTAGATTTTATTGGATTTAGATACTCTGATGATCATATTGAAGGAAAAAATCACTAGAAGCAAATGCTTTTATTGATTAAAAAATGTTTCTAAATCTTAAGTTTGCGCCCTCCTGCTCGCACCCTCCTATTGGGTTTCTATGATTTCCTTCGTGGCTCAATGGTGCGGTCTGACATACCTAATCCCAAGGCAAACCAAAATGCCACTGAATACCTCTCCTCACTATGTCCCTAATTGATGGGTTTGGTTCGACCCAAGCAGAAACTTGCCATCAGCACCTATAGTTGATTATCACACCCATCCAAGGAAGAATATGAAGTGCACACTTGCAATTCATTTTTTATTTCAGTGCCAAATAATGAATTTCCTCAAATTTATAGGCTAAATTCAAATAGAACAGTAAACATACATAAGAGTAAAAACCAAGGGAAGGAAAAATTAGATGCAGGAAAACCTAATTAAAGTATTTAACAATCAATTTCATGGTAATCACTTCTCCCTAATCAACTTATCACCTAAGATATTTTTGCATTTGATTTCATAGGGAAACTCTAGATCTTTGTATACTTCTTGAAAGACTTAGAAAATCCTATCAACTTCAAGGTATTTCACAAGATCATTTCAAAGTCAATTTCATATCATAATATGATCTTATTGTAGTGTCAAATTGACAGCGAATCATTCTTAAATGGTTGAAGTATTAATGAGATGTTCTTTATGATTTGTGAAAATGTGAAAATAGTATGCACTTTACTATGTGCAATTAACTACTGCGGCTGTTGGAGACCCTTGCACCATAATGCGCTATTCGCCATAAACACTTCTATATAATATAAACAGCCCAAAATTAAAATGTAAACATGGCATATATCATAATGAATGTTGCAAAGGCACAAAATTCATTGATAATCCATGCTAGTTAAGTTACATAAAATACATCTAGTTGGACCATTAGAAGTTAGAAAATGCAAATGGAAGTGATTATTTAATTTACATGTTAAAACATGAGGATATGATGCGGCCACATAATTTCTATAATTAATGTACTACTTAATAAACATACAAACAAAAAATAAAATTAATAAGAGGAAATTTCAAAGGCAAGATACACTCACAACGATTGGGCCTTTCCATGAAAACAAAGAAAGAGCATTTCCAAGAAAACACTCTTAGCATTGAGCCTTTTTCGCATCTTTTTAAATAAAATTTTATCATGCTCCTATTGCTTAATTTAAATTAACTATTTTAAATTTGACTTACGCAAAACTATACATTTTCAAATTGTGGGATTCAGTATTGCATGTTTTGAACTCGTGGGTTTTTGCTGGATATCTGAAGACAACAGTGTGTTGTGAATTAATATGCACAGTACAGATGGAAGATGGTTTTAGACTAATTAAAAAAATAAATTTAACAAAACATTCTTCTTACAACTTTCAAATCCCACAATCCATCGAAGGGCTCATATGTAGCCAAGCCCCTAATGTTCAAATCCCCCCGCATCTCACCAAGCAAAGATTTCTGTAGGTTAGCCGTGATCCAGTCTCCGATAATATCCAAGGAAAGCTGCCATTAACCAAGGTGAGAAAAAAAAAACTAAATACACAAGATAAACCCGAAAATTAAGATAAAAAGGATAATATAAAACTACAAATAGACAACCTGGTTCTCCGCCAACCCAAGCTGAATGATTCCATCAGGATTATAAGTTGGATGATATGGATCCTCCAAAGACTTCTTCAAACCGGTGTAGTAAGCAGAATCGCGGGATTTGGATATGGCGATGGCCCGCGATGAAACCGGCACGGGACGTAAGGATCCTCGAGTGGACAGAGTGCTACGGGAAGTGCTCCTTGGGATTTCAGCAAGCTCTGGGAGATTAGCGGAAGATTCGGAAGGAGAATGGGGAGGTGGAGAGGAGCGGTTGCGCTTGAGGTAGAACTGGAGGAAGTACAAGAGTGCACAGGGGATTAGAGAGCCGAGGATTAGGCCTCCTCTGCCTTGGACGATGCCTTGGAGTGGTACGATGATCCGCATGCCCCCCGCCGCCGGCGCCGCCGCCGTGTGTTCGTCGTCGCTGTTGGCCACCGGTCCTCAAGGGGTAGTGCCGGGGCAGTTGCTAGACAATAGGAAATCTAAGGATCAGATGCTGCTAGAAGCTGAAATTTATGTGGATTAATTTTGGTAAAAGGAAAACTATTCATACAATTTCATGTGCTTATGCCCAAGTAATTGCATCATTGTCAAAATTTATCATCGATTTCTTTTAATTGGCTTTCACAAAGAAAACAAATTGCTATTTTCGATTAATAACATTTTCTTTTTCAAAAAATTAATTTTTTGCTCATAAAAATAATTTGTCTTTCATTTGGGCTGCCTTAACTCTCAAAAATTCATTAGTGACGACCTTCCAAAGAAGAGTGTTATTTATGGAGTTCGGATACATCTAGATTTCATGTACAATATTATTGTATACTATTATACAACATACTACAAATAATAATAATAATATATTATTATTATTATTATTATTATTATTATTATTATTATTATTATTATTATTATTATTATTATTATTATTATTATTATTATTATTATTATTATTATTATTATTATTATTATTATTATTATTATTATTATTATTATTATTATTATTATGAGAATTCATAATCCCTCTAAATCATATCTATGACTTTAATTGACTTTAAGATATTTGCATTAATCACAAAGTATTAATTATTAATTTTCCAGAGTAACTAATTCAATGGATCCAAAGCTTCAACACCTATGCATTTAGTGCCCCACATTTTCTGCAATTGGTTAAGAATAATAGATTTTCGATAACTTGTATTCGTTTGATTAACTCACTCATTTAAGGTTTGTCTAGGGCAGCTGCACCTGTTTGAAGAAGCAGTTGTGAAGCTTCTTTAGGCCCCATTTGGGACTCATTTTTGTGGCTTTTACATTGCAGAACCGGAGAGTTTGTGTTTGGGAACCTTTTTTATCCGAGCGTTTTACGGATGGGGGGCCGCATTCGGTCGAACACTGAAACAGAAGGGGGACAGGGCGTTCCTCGCTCAGAGCTCCATTGTGAGGTGACAAAGGCATTACTGCCCCCTTCAGATTTCCAGTAATCCCACTCCTCTATCCTCACATATACCCCTCACCACTCTCCTCCTTGGTCACTTCAGTCGTTAGGGCTGAAACCTGATTCCGCTCCCCTCCCTTCGTTGTTGGCCTAAGAGAACACGTTCAAGTGCTCATTCGATTTAGGGAAAAAGTGATTATGGATGGAGTCTTCTTTGCCTAAGAAGTCTCATTGAGCTCTATTTATTGCCTTGAGAACCCATCTTGGCTAGCGTGATAGAAATAAAAAATTGGTTATTGGTATTTTATCTGCATGTAATCTAAGGGTTTGCATTAGTGCATTTATATGCAGAACAAGCACACAAAGTATTCTGAAAGAAACAGATGAGCAATGCTCATGTATATTTCATTCCATAGCTCCTACTGGTTGATCAGGACAAGTATCAATGTTTCTAACTTATCGATCATACAAAATTCAACTTTACAACAAAGTAAGGGTGTCAAAAATTGACCTGACATGACAACATGACTTAAACTCAACTCAAAAAATCTAGGTTAGGGTTAACTTAAATATTTGTTTAGTCGAGTTTGGGTTAGAGAATTTGACTCGTTTATTGTTCGGGTCTGGCTCAGGTTGAACTCAAAAGCACAAGCATGACCAAAGTCGGCATGAAAGTTAGGGTTGGGTTTAGGTTAGTTGTCAAGCTCGAGTTTTGGTCTTAGTTTTCAACCCGTTTATTATTTGGGTCGCGTTCAGGTTGACCCTATTTGGGTTGGGTCATATTTGGGTTTGGCTCGAACCCGACCCACTGACCCAAATTGACACCCCTACAACAAAACATATGCAAAGTCTCAGCAAAACAAAGAAAAAGAAAGTAGTATTTAACATTCTCCCCTCAAAATGTTACTCTATACTAAAGAGTAGGGAAGAGCAAGCAATTCGGCAAACAAAATTTCTCAAAAAAATTGTAAATTAGTGCTCATATATTTATACATGTTGAGTAATGTTGAGTTGCAGTGGATATTGTTAACTTATTGGAAATGATTCTCGAGATTTATATGATCTTATTACATCAAATGTTTTGTGGACCAGTTGGTTGCTTGGTTTCTGTTTACAGTGATATTTTCGGTGTGTGATTTGGTGGGCACATTTCACATTTCTTGTGAAATGTTTAGTAGAGCAATGATATAAAAAACAAAAAAAAAAGGCTCAACCGATTACCAATTGTGAATATGAAAAAAAATGACAAGGCTAATTTGACACGGATATTGTCTGGTCTTTATGCCTGAGAACACAATTGGTGATCCTGGATTGAGCTATTTTTGATATTTATGAATTGATTATGAGCTCTACCTTTACTTCTTATTTGTCATATTTTTGTTTTAGGTTCATGTATTGTTGTTTTACATGCCAAATTATGTTGACACATTTTTTTTTTACTTAGATATCAGATGAGTTAACAAAAACAATGTGGGATATCCGCTATTTAGGATAGGGAGACATGATAACTTTCTGTGATTTATGCTTGAGAAAGGTAAAAGGGAAATAAACCAACTACACATTTCAATAAAGAATGTTGGCAAATATAAAGAAACTCTTTCGAAAAAGAACTAGTAGACAGTACAACAAAACTTAGCTGAAAAACAAATGGGATCAACTTAAAAAGAACTGGAAGTTGTGGAAGGAGTTAAAGAGAGGGGCCACTGGTTTAGAATGAGACCCTATTAGAAAAATGTTTGATGCACTTGAGGAGTGGTGACAAGAGAAGACTTCAGTAAGTATAACATCTTACATCCAATATTGTTTACTTTAAAGTTTTATTTCTTAGAAATCAAGATTATCAATTGTAGGTTTTACAGAATGCAAAAAAGTTTAGACTTGTTGGCATTGACCCGGAGTTGGAAGAGAAGCTAAATACTATGTTCATTGGTGTTTTTGTAATAGGGGTCAACATTTGGGCTACAACAGAAGAGCCAATCCCTAATTTGGATGAACTTGAATGTGCTTATTCCAATGAGATGTACGAGTAAAAATTAAATGAAAGAGATAGGGGGGTTCCAGTCACTCCAAGCGACCTACATCCTTGACACAAAAAAGAAAAAGAAAATTAAAGTTGGGGTAACTCATTTATCCCAACAGATATCACAGCTGGTGATAAACTGCACCAATATTACTTCAAGTGCTTGCACTGCTCTCCATGCATACCCAACAATGACAAATGTTGTCAAGCTACTCGAGTCAATTTCTGAAATTTTTAATGACATTCCTCTTTACTTATTTCTCATAGAACTTCTGGAGGATCGAAACAAGCGAGAAACTTTATTTATGTTGCCACATGAACGAAGGATTCCTTACCTCCGTTATTTTTTAGAGAGTCGGACTAGTAAGATGACATGCACATTTTTTTAACTTGTTATTAGTACAATATAGTGACTGATTATAGTATTTGACATTTCTATTGTAAATTATGGCTTGTGTGTACTACTTCTAACATTTCATTATTTGTGGATTTCCGTAGTTAAAACTACTTTCATTATGCTCAAGTTAAGCAATTACATGCATTGAGAATAATATGTTCTTTTGAAATAAGTTTAACATTATTCTTTCAGACAAATGGAGCCACCAAATGAAAAGGAAATTATAGATAGTTGAGCAAGCAACAATCATTATCAGCACAGTTTATCTGATTTAAGAATACTATTGAAGACACATTTGTAAGACACTTTTTGTCTTATCATCATCTATGGGTGAAAAATGGGTTGGTGAACTAATGGAAACTCATCTAAATTGGATTCACAACATGTTCAAGATGTTAAAAGCTATTTTTTTTTGTGATTTATTAGATGAATTGTAATCCAAATATGGTTTGTATGGATCTTTACAATTTACATTTTAAGAAGTCCTGACCATCGCACTCTTCATTATGTCACACAATGAGTTCATTCATGCTGCTTTTGAGTATTTCCAACACTCTATAAAGACGATCAACAAGTTATTCCACGTTGGACTTAGCTCTGTTTAAAGGCTACAAACATCGTTAAACCACTGGACCCATCTTTTGCTCAAACACCTCAAAAAATTCATAGCGATCCGAGCCATTTTTCAAAGTATTGATCTCACTCACCATTCTTACTTCAATAAATTAAGGAAAATTTGTAAATATCCTATATTGTGTCATTTATTTATAATAATGGCTGCAATAGAGCAATTAATGGAACGCTTGTTGACGCAGACATGGGGAATGAGGGAAAGATAACCTATATCGGTAGGTGTAAATCTACTACACATAATATATTAAAAATATGTTATTTCAACATGTGTTTTACATTAGTGATGACTGGTTAAGAAGAGAGCGCACACAACAATAAAATATTTAAATTTGCAACCCGATGACCCGAATACAAATTCTTGATGCCTCCGCAAGGTTGGTGCATTTAACTAATCCATCATATTATATTTCCATTTGAACTAATCCACTAATGTTGTCATTATTCAGGAAAGTATTATCTTATCAATTCTGGATATTCACTACAACTGGGTTCTTTGAAGTCATTTTCTGACAAGAGATATCACGTCCCTGACTTTGAACGCAACAATCAAGTGATTAGAGGGAGTAATGTTCTCTTTAACAAAAGACGCTCATCATTACGCAGTGTCATCGAGCAAGCATTTGGTGTATGGAAGAAAAAACGGGTCATACTCTGAGATATGCCTACATATTCTCTTAAAAAATAAGTGAAGATAGTTGTTGCAACGACTACGCTTCATAATTTTATATGGAGGCATCCATCCCGAAATGATATCGATTTATGTGTCGTAGATGATGATCCCACCTACATGCCTGAGGAAGCTAACCAACATCAAGCCAAAAATTCAGTGCAAGAAGAGGAATGTAGGACAAACGAGTACACCACTTTTGAGGGAAAAAATATTAAGGAGATGTTACAGTTGAAAGAGGAGATTACTGATGTTTTGGTGACTGCAACGATCTTACTTATGTAGCATCACTTAGTTATTTGTTGGTAATGATT